TGTCAAGGCTCAAGGAAAGAACAAGCAGAAGCATGGGAGCCGTGGACTTAATGGGAATGGTCCAGGATCTCCTATCTCAAAACAGCACCCTTTTGGACAGCATGTTGATGCAGAGGTCTGAATATGTTTCAAAGATGGAAGAATTGAAGGCTGAGGTCAGGAAGCAGGTCAAGAGAGGACAGAAAGAAAGGAAGAAGGAATTGAAAGAATTGAAGGCCCAAATGAGGAAGATGGTGGGCAAACGGATGCACAAACTGGAGAGGAGGCTGCTGAGCCTAAAGGCTGCTAACAGAAGGCTAAGGGAGCAAAATGAGCAGCTAAAGGTTGCTACCATGGAGTCACAAGCCACACAGCCTACTCCCTTGGAGTAGGACAGGTTCATCCATCACCCTTTAGCCTCTAAAATTTTATTTTTAATTAGAGTCAGGGGATAGTTTCTCACTTTTTAACTTTATTTTCATACTTGATTACATGATCATTGCAACTAGTTCTTGATATCATAGCCTAAATAAATTTAAAGGTAAATAGCCATTCACTTACTAAATAATGTTCTTGCTAGAACTAGCACATGTCTTCTTTTGAGCCAAATTTCCACTCACACACCAATGCACACTTGGGTATGATATAGATCATTCTTCATTCACCTCTCAAACAGCCCCTTGTAGCTTTATACACTTTCTACCAACATAGCCAATGAGGGCATTGTCACATGTTCAAGTTTGGGGGAGGGTATACCACATAGACCACAGCTTCAAAAACAAAAGAGCATAGCACATAGTGCCTTTGTGGATTCTGTTTTACTAGCACAAAAATGTCCCATAGGGGCAATGTGCATGCTTTCATCATAAAGAGCACATAGTGCCAAAAATTTTAAAAAAAATAAAATGATGAAGCATAAGTGAAAAAGGCAAAGGTGAGAAAAGAAAATAAGGAGAGCCTTAAACAAAGTCCTATTGACCCTAGCATGAAGAGGTGTGTTGAGTTCATCTAGGAAAAGACTATTGCTAGCATATGGTTCATACATAAAAAGTAGGCTATGATTGGTTTGCTAAAAATTTATGAAAGGCTATGATGTTCATTAATGATATGCTTTGCATTATGTGTGCACTTAATGCCTTAATCTTGTATATCTTACTATATTGAGTCAATTTTTGTTGTCATTTGGTTGCTTGGGRACAAGCAACACTTTAAGTTTGGGGGTATGATAAGCATGGTTTATTACATGCTTAAAGTACCTATTTCTTATATTTATTAGATAGATTTTCATAGTTTATCCCAACCTTGAGTCATTTTTACTTCTTTATTTTCCATTTATTATGTTTGGAGCTAATAGTGATAATGAATCTGTTTTTACAACAAGTTGGAGTAGATAACATTTTTTTGACTCAGTTCACTGCACTGTGATGCTGCAGCATTCCAATAGCATTGCCCTGCTGCATCTTGACTTTTGTAGGAGGTGCTTAATGCTTAAGTCATATCTTAGAAGGAAGTCTGAATGAAAGAAGCCCTCGTTTTTGGACTGGTTGCAGCTGGTGACAAGAGTTGGAGATGACCCTTGGAAGACTTTTTGTGATGGAGTAGAAGGCTCCTTTTTATGGTCTTTTCTAGATGTACTTCTTTGTACTTTGTACTTTCTTTGGTTTTGTCTTTTCCTAARATGTTGGGTATAAAAGAAGGCCTTTGGCCACTCTTTTCCACACACCATCTTGGACGACTTTTGTCTAAGATTCTACCCCCAAAACACTTTCATCTTATTATTAATATTACAAGCTTTTAAGTATTTATTGTTCTTCATTTCTTGTCTTTTATTTATT